AAGAACCTACATGTTTTATATTTACTGATCCGATCAAAGCTTGCTATATTAAATATGAAAACTAGGACATCTAAGTTTTAACCAAACTAACATTTCTCTATATAATAGGACTCGATTGAAATTCTCTCTAATTTTCTTTTTACTCACAAAATTCTAAGAACTTAAACATCTTTCTTTCTTTTTATATTTAGAATTTTGTACTGATTTGAAGGCATAAAATATAGTACCATTTTGTTAGGTTTTTCACCAAAGTGTTCACAAAAGAATGGATTTTATCGTACATAAACCATCCTTTCTTTCAGATCTAATGTTACTCAATACCTCTCTTATATATTTTCTGCGTACGCACCTCTTTTATATAATTGCTTTATTAACGTATTCATCCACGTTAAACATCTGCCAAAACGAAATATTTTTTGTTGTTTATAATTAAAATGATAATTTTATTAGACAATTTATGCAAACAGATTTTAAAAAGAATCAAATAGATTAGTAAATATTTATTGTTTCTACATTTAAAATAGAATAAAAATAGTTTAGATTATTATAATAAAAAACGAATAGTTTCTAGATGTCTATATGTTCTACCGTAAACAATTATAACAAATTGTTTGTATGTTTAATTTGAATATTTGAATTAAAATACTTACTATATTACTCATTACGTTCATACTTTAATATAATTAATTATCTTAAGACATAAAACATGTTTTCTTTTTAAGGTAGAATTGTCGACAATTTGTTTTCATGCATATCCATTAACGCATGCATGTTAGATCCTTTGAGTTTTCAATGTTTCTAATTAGCACCATTGAGAGCTTGATCAATGTTGGGTGTTAATGATTTTTAATGGGTTGTAATGGGTTAAAAACAATTAATAATAATCTAATCATCTAAAGCCCATAACACCGATCCTAATTTTAGCATTTATAAAACCTCAAAATATGGCATATGTGTCACATTGTGGTTGGTTCAGAGAAAATACAAACACAAAAAAAAAAAAATCCCAACCATTCACA